TCAAAATTATAATTAAACAATAATGCAAACAGTAATAAAAATCACAAAATGTAAAAATCATACTATAATGTGTTAATGTGTTATCACTTATTATCTATTACCTACTCACTAAAATATTATTTAGCGTTGTTTACCTCACAGCCATGGAGGAAGATTACGTACGGATTTATTTCTCCATACACGGAGGTAAAATAATAATTCGATAACATGTTTTCACGATCCTAATGATTTACCAACACAGTAACACATAATCATCCGGATTTATATTCATAGATGGTAGGTACTTAGAATATACTTAGATAAATCTAAGATTTATASGGCCGTATGCATAGATGTTTAAGTGGCACTTAAGTTAATTTAAGTGCCACCTAAGAAGAACACCGTAAAGTTACGTTGTATAGTCATTTTTACGGTGCACCTGGCACCTTTTATATACTTGTCTATGCCTGGCACCTTAGTTGTCCCTTAAAGTTAGGTGGTAGATTGACCACCCTTAGCGAATCCGTAACTACTCGTATTATAGCTGTGATAATTGTGATGATAAGATTTACATCGGTTCAGTTTTTTTCTCTAAAATCATTTGTGTACGAAACCTTAACCACTTTTTTTTGTCGAAAATTTCATTTTAACTTAAACCTACACATAATAAATTAGTAAAATGGACGACATTTTTGAAATAATTGGTTTTGTGCAATTTATAAATTAAGATGAAGATYGTTTACTTTGAAGGTACATTAGAGACCATGAAAATCCTATGGAATTTTACAAAAGATATAGGTACGTACTTACTTTGATAAATAACTTACATTACAACTACCAATCTATATTATACATTTTTCCAAAAAACRTATCAAGTTTAAACGTAAATCATTAATGATTTTTTTTTAATTTAGATTTTCTAMAGAAATTGTAAGGGATGTAATAATGCAGTTTATTACAATAAATCATGAAAATAACCGCGGTTTACCCATACCTCCAATCATTCAGCTCCTAACAACATTGCGATTTTACGCAA